CAGGAAATATTCGTATAGAGGTGATTACACGGACTCGGTTGACCCCCCAGAGCGTTTCGTTTGCAAATCTATCCACCTTGGGACCCGTTATCGTTTGTGGGGTCAGTTTCTATCGGCCTCGTGTAAATAATGGGGCTATATGCACGCGAAACTATGCAGATACAAGCAGTTTTCTCCTCGTGTAAACAGCGCCTTAGTTTCTCTGATTAGGTCATCTCTCTGAGAGTGAATCTTAAATGTATGTGTGATCAACAGACGCGTTTAGGGGGTGAGGTTTTGCATACTGTGTCTGTGTATATCTCACTGTCTTGTAGGGTGAGATGGTTTTGCATACAGTGCCAGAGGGGGTACGGACATTGTGTTGCTGTACGTTTGTCACCTAACTGATTATTCTCTCTAGACCCCAGCTGATTTTAAAACTGCTACGACAAAGCTTACTGTGCGTTTAACCTAAATTACGTCATTGAATATTGATTTTAATTTCTAACAATCCCTCTTTTCACACCTTTTAAGGTGTGAACACAATACTGAAATCAATGAGTTCTTCATAAGACAGCTTTTAAACTGACGGTATGTTTTAGACTAAATTATGCTATAAAACATTGATTTTAATTTCTAACACTGCCAGTTAATATTAGGCTGGATTAGTTTGCTGGTTAAGAGGGGTTTTGGACACTTTAGCTGGTCAGGATAGCTGGTTTAGCTGGTAAAAGCTGGTGGTCACAGTGGTCTAGCTGGTCAGGATAGCTAGTTTGGTCACAGTGGTCTAGCTGGTCATCATTAGCTGGTCAGGATAGCTGGTTTAGCTGGTAAAAGCTGGTGGTCACAGTGGTCTAGTAGCTGGTCACCATTAGCTGGTCATACTTGTATGATCTTGAGTAGAACTTTAGCTGGGATTACTTGATGGTTAAGCTGGTCATATATGATGATGAAACACTCTCACCCAATTGCAGTAGCTCAATCTATCATTTCAGATCAGAGCACCTACCTTACCAGAAAGGTACCAGAATGTAGTATTGTCTGTAAATAAATACTCATACATCAAATGATTAGAAGCAGGAAAATAATTTATAACACACAATGAACATTAACACAAATTTGAAAACATTTTCAAAACACCCATTACTTCATATTTTTAAGCAGTTTCCTTCAACTGTTTCTTTCCGCTTTTCACAAGGTCCTGTATTTTTTGTGAAATGTAGTAACTGGCCAACTTTTCCCTCTCTGTCTTCTCCACGTTTTGTGAATTCAGCCATCCTCTGAAGCACTCTTGAAAAGAGAAAGGAAAAACAGATTAACTTTTAGCTTTGTGTTATTATTACTTAAATATGTGCACTGTGAGATGAAAAAGAAAAATGTATCAAATTTAGTTTTGAACATTCACTGTGATTGGGTCTATTATCCACGCAATACACCATATTACATTTTTTTCTTAATTTACATTATTTAATTTCATATTCTGTTCTTGTAAATATCATATTCTATTATATTAAATGTATATAAACTTTTTGCACTACTTTTTATTTTGTATTTTTGTATTTTATTGTATATGTTGCATTGTTGGAGGAGCTCAGGTCAGAAGAATTGCATTGACATTTCTACACTGTAGCTGCTGAGCATATGAGAATAAAACCTTTGAATCTTGAATCCAACACTTTTTTCAGTGGAAAATCCTGAATTGTAGGATAGTTTGGCCATAATAATGCTTTATGATTACATTTCTAGTGAGAAGTGTATATTTTACTTTCAGAATCTACCTCCAGTGGATGTGTAGGATCTACACAGGGTATATACAGGAATCCTGAAGTCAAATGTAATTCCTTTTAAGACCTTTTAAGACCCTTTCCATACATTTTAAGACCTCATCGCCACTTTGAGTTTTAACCGGTTACACTGGCGACACACTTTACCTCACATTTACTATATACAGTATTGATTGTCCTTCCTCCTTATCTTCCAACCATTTGGACGCAAACTTGCATTTCCCCATAACGATGTTGTTTAACAACCGGCGTAAACGGACCTGCGCGCGCTATCAAGCAGTGAGTGTGCGATGTCCTGTTCAGATGACGTCAAATCCAACGGGATGCCATAAATAAACTACACAGAATCACACTACACACCTACGCAATGATTACATTCAGGCACACTGTAGAATACAACCTCTTTGGACAATTGATATACTTATTGAAAACAAGCTAAAAAATGTAATACTTGGAAAATGCCGTTTAATACTTTTTAATAGCCTTAATTTTCGCTAAATTGATTTATCAACTTTTAATACTTTTTAAGACCCCGCGGACACCCTGCTACAGTATGATAGATATATTACTTTACACCCGGAAGTATGTATTGTCATTCTTATTGTCGATAAATTGAGGGATATACGCTATATTTTATTAACACCAGTATGTACTTTATACATCCACCTCGAGTGTTTGTCTCTGCACCGGAAATAATTTAATTTTAAAGTTCAACCGCATATTATATAGACTATATCAGCGCCACACCTGCGTAACACATGGTGCCTCTTGTCTGAACAATTTTTTAAGCGATTTGTAATCTATTCTTGTCGACTTGCAGCCTAAATACAAAGATAACTCCACTCTCCTACCACTGCTTACCTCTAATGAGCCTTGGTAGAGCCTTGATCAGGTGTTTGATGTGGGCTGGCATGATCCTTTCTGCAGCGATGAAGAAAGAAAACAAAGAAAACATTTTTAATAATAGTAATGATGGTAACAACAATTATATTAGTATAACTATTTATATAGCACTTACACAATTGCAAAGTGATTCTCCCAACAAAAATAAAGAACAAAACAATACCAACAATAAAAAAACAAATGATTATAGGAATGTTAAGAGACAAAGAAATTATAAACATTCTGAGAGGCCGACTACAAAAGGTAGACTCAATGGCTCTTGATGACAACAATGCGCAGTCCCAATAGATGCTGTTATATAAAAATAAATAGATTTCTTCTATTTTGTGTTGGATGATTTGTTTTATTGATTGCTGATGGATGTATATATAGGGTTTATTGAACAGCAGTAAAGCATTAAGTTGCTAAATTAACGTACACTGAACTGTAAAACAACTTACCACTATTTAGGAAAGGCTCTGATCAGGAGGGTTGACTAGTAGGACAGCAAAGAGGTGGAGGAGGTCTATGTACAACCATTGGTAGATGTTACACCTGAAAGAAATATAAGGAAATAAAAGAAGACAGGAGTACAAACATCCTCTTAAAGGTGGGGTAGGTAAGTTTGAGAAACCGGCTCGAGATACACTTTTTGTTAGATTCCATGGAATGCTCTTAACATCCCGATAGCAATGAAAATCTTAAGTGCTTTGACAAAAAATCCATAAATAATATCATCTGTGGAAGCCGTAGTACTGTAAAAAGCAACTGGATGGCCTACCTGCCTGTCAGCCTTCCATCTGTGCACAAACTTATCTCGTGCCCTCATTGGTCATGTGCGCGTTCGTGTGTGTTGGAGGAGGGGCTCTGTAAGGAAGTGGCAGATTTTTTCCGGTTGTGTATTTTCAAATTCTAGCAATCTCGAGCTGGTTTCTCCAAAATTACCTACCCCACCTTTAAGTAAAAGACCAAATCATGTCAAGCTTTAACCTGAGCCTGTTTTTTCAGTCTTTACAATGCACTGTTGGAAAATACCTTCCAAAGGCTAAATTCAAACTCAATACCATAAATAACTGGGTACCAAAGTGCTTTACCTGATAGAACACGTTCCACATGGAGCAGCAACCATCCGGCTCGGCCTTTTGCTGCATATCATCTCCTCCCTCTCCACTGTTTCCATTAGATCTCTACTGTCCAATAAAACTGAAATTCCCCAAAAAATCATATTAAAAAAGTTAAAAACAATAACTTGCTTTTGGCATTGAAATGGATTAGAATCTCACCTTTTTCCTGGATGTTAGGAAGGCCAGGAAGTTATTCCCTTCAAGTCCGCAGCCAGTCATAGGAGTTCAAATGCAAAGCCTGAACGATGACAAGAGCGGGAGACTTACATTTTACAATTATATTTTTAATTAATACCAGAGCCTCGGACAGCTGTTTGAAAAATGTCCGGTGTGTAAGAGAGACTGTGATGTCCAAAGACGAAAACTGGGGACTTTTGTGGCGTTCACACAGCGTTGTCCAAGCTGCAGTTACCTCAGACAATGGGAGAGCCAGCCCGTCGTCGGAAGTACCCCGGTTGGCAACTTACAATTATCCGCTGCTACATACTTCAGTGGTGGTTCCGTCTTCCAACTATAAAAGGTATTTTACCATCTAACATCCATAGCATATTAAAATTGACAACAGTGGACTTTTTCAAAAACGTTTCCTCTTTTTCTATGTATTCATAGATATGCAGAGCCATGCAGCTGGAGATCTTCCAGTATGAGACCTTCAGGAGGCATGCTAGGAATTACCTGGAGCCTGCTATTATCCACAAGTGGAAGACTGATCAGCTGAAGATTTTCCAGCAACTACACCACCAGGGGGGAAATGTCATAGTTGCAGGAGATATGAGAGCAGACTCTCCAGGTAATCGGAAACAAACAAGACAGTCTAGTGCCAGAGTTACTGGTGTATATTACAATTCATCTAAGTTATCCATTGACATTCTGTTGAAAAGCCTTGAAACCTCCTTTATTATATTATCTTCAGGGCACTCAGCGAAGTTCGGAAGCTACACACTCATGCACCTGGGAAGCAACACCATTGTGGACTTCCAGCTTGTTCAGGTGTGAATCTCTTTCTGGGTGTTATCATTTTATGCTTACTGGCTGTTGATGCATGTTTCAGTGTATTTATGCCCTATTTCTTATTCACCAACAGAGCAATGAAGTTGGTGGTAGTTATCACATGGAAAAGGAGGGACTCAAAAGATGCCTAGATCATCTGGAGTCAAACAATTTGGCGGTTGAGTACATTGTGACTGACCGTCATCCACAAATCCAGAAGTTTCTGAGGGAACGCAACATCGAACAATTCTATGATGTGTGGCACTTTGAAAAAGGTATTTATCCCTATATGTTTGAATGGAAGAATACCAAATCAGAGACACTGTCCTTTGTTCAGATATTCCTTTGTTTTACTATGCAATTTATCCTGAGCTTCTAATCAGCAGCAGACATGACATCATGTCTGGATAGATACATGATTTATATCCCCCTACAATTTGTCCCTCTAATCTGGTCTTTCCTCTGTTATTGTAAACTGTCTGCCAGACCACTTGATCACAGCACCTTTTGTCATTGTAAATTCAATTTCACTCACTACTCTTAGGATAATGTGAGTACTCTTTAGAATGGGAATTTACAGTGATGTGTATATGAATATGTATGGGGGTTTCCTGGGCTGGCTATTAAATGCTTTCAGACAGAAGGGTGTCTCCCTGACCATTGTCAGGCAATTATCATATGGATGTTATGGTTGTAATTAACATGCTGTGCTTACCCTTCTTTCCACCACACCCTTGAATATTGTCCATCACAGCACATCATTTACACACTATGGCTTGAATATTCACTTGTGCATGTGTTTTCTTTTTATCAGGTTTGTCCAAGAAACTTGTGAAACTTTCACAGAACAAGGACTGCAAGTTGTTGAAGAGGTGGCTGCACAGCATCAAAAACCATGTATACTGGAGTGCGACGAGCACAACCTCAGGGCCGGAGAAGGTGGCAAGGTGGTCAACCACCTACAAAACATTCACGTGCACGACGACCCCCTATTCCCCAAGTGTGAACATCCTGAAAGAGCCACAACAGATGCAAATAAATGGCTAAAACCTGGTAAGTTCAATATTTATAAAACAATTGGAAATAACAAGTGAGAAATTTAAAAACACTTCACTTCCTTCATAATATCAACAATATTGAATGTAAATATAACATTGTTGTTATGGAAAATGATAGTTGTAATGTTCTAATGGGATGTTGATGTTTTTGTAATTTCACTCAAGATTCAATAACACTCCACAAAGTTGAGAAAATACTCAACAACTCGAGAGTTCTCAAAGATGTGAAAAAGCTAAGCCATCACTACCAGACCTCATCGCTGGAGTCCTTCCACAGCTTGATTCTGCGTTTTGCCCCCCAAAAGGTGGTTTTCCCCTTCATGGGAATGTTGTGCAGGTAATACACTGTATAATTTATTCTGTAGCATCTTATAACACAGTCACTGTTTAGTGGCATGAGGGTTTTATTCTGTCATAACACAAAGTCTCATTTTATTTTGCTATTCTATAGGTTGTGTCTAGCAGCCATGCATCACAATGAGAATGCTGACCGTGAGCAAGCCACAACAGCTGCAGGACTACCTGTGTACAAATTGGCCTATCCAAAAGCCAGGAGGGGAGAATGTACCGCAAAGCCTGTAAAGAAGGACCCTACATGCAGTAAGTTGTCAAATATTTTTGTTTTTATTAAAAACATAACTTACATTTTAAATGATTATTGCACAAAGTACCAATGAACTGGCCAGATATATGGAGAACCGGGATGACTGGAAGCAACGATGGAGGGCTCGTCTGAGGACGACCTAGAGAGATAGCCACACTGAATTATATGTACAATGAAAGAATAAAAGAAAAATATAAATAATAAATTATTATATGAATGTTATATTTTTCAGTGTACGTGGGTGAGCTGATGAGGCTGGTGTTCGAAGAAGTATTTGAGGATCCAACACCCTTTGTGGAGGAGATGAATGAAATCCCCATCCCAAAGGACCTGTCCACTCAATTTGACAGGCCCTCAAAGGAGGAAGTGGTAGCCCGCCATGTCTCACGTTTTAGTCAAGGGGCGGTCGGAAGCAAACATACTGTCCTGCCAGATCAGGAAACTCCCGGCGTATCCGGCGGACAACACATGACGGGATGACCACTCTGATGCCTCGTCCTAAGAAGCCCCAGCACCAGCTTACAATGCTGCGATAGACAAGATGCCGAAAACGCCAATAAGAGGAGGAATGGATGATAAGATATATGTGCTGTCCTGTTTTTCACCCTTACCCTCTGGCTGCTTGAAAAACTGATTTTCCCCACAGGTCCATCTTATCTTATACAGTGTATATATGTATATCAATCATCATTTTGTACATTTCTAGAAATAAAGTTTGATAGAAATACTTGGTAGCCTTTCTTCCCTGAATGATGTGCTCCTAGATAGCATATCATTCATATATAGCAAACCATGATTTGATTTTTCATCAAATACAGTAGTAGTTTATTACAGGTAAAAATAACTTACTCTCCTTCTGTTCTACGCCTCAAAGGTCCATAATCAAACCTATAAATGTTATGGAGGTTCTGCAGGGTGTATGGATTGAAACAGTTTGGCTCTAGTCCGGGGTGGTCAACCATGCACACAATAGGTTCTGGGACTTGCATCATTCGTGTTGCAACCTATAGGAAGATAAGATATTTGTAACATAACACGTTTAGCAATTAACTCCAAATATTGCGAGGTTTACAAAATAAACATTCAATTACTATAGAATAAATAAAAGGGCATATAATAGTCTATTGACTTGACAAGTATGTAGGCCTATGGTGTATATAATGTTGTGTGCTACTGTTGGTGTTTTTGTTGTATCTGTCACCATACTTGCCAACCTTGAGACCTCGGAAATCGGGCGCATTACTAAAGAGACGCGCTACCATGGAAACCAAACAATGGTGTAGCTGTATTAAAGTCCGAGTGGAAACAGTCCAGGGTAAATCTGATTTTGTCAGAAATCGGGAGAAATATGACCCCGGGAGGAAACCGGGAGAGGGCTATGAAATCGGGAGTCTCCCGCGAAAAGTATGTCTGTTACCTTTCTAAGCGAAACAAACTTGTTACTGTGATGTAAATAAATGATGCAGTTCTAACATTACATCTGAAATGTAAGAGCTATACAAAATTAAAACTTTCCACTGTGAAACCGCCTGCTCCAGTCTAGTTTGGGACGATGGATCAGGTCCATCACGGTCCGTCTCACTTTCAGGATCGGACTCCGGTTCAAACGTGTACGGCTGTACTGACGCCATTTGAAAACTGATGCTCAGAGCCGAAAACACAGTGTTAGACATGGGCGGAGCCTCTCTGGTGGTTGACTAATCAGAACAGAATGGCCGAGCTGACCAATCGGAGCACACTAGGCTCACAGGGAGGGGGGGGCAGGAGCACAATCAAGCCGTTTTGCACAGAGAGTGAATACTGCTGAATACACATACTATACAGAGATGCTGTATGCGAAACCAATGTGAGTTTGGAAAATTGCACAGTATAAATCTATTTTAGTATACCTCAACAATGGAATTATGATCAGTGGAAATGGCCATGACATGGGCCCTTTAATCATAGCCTGTTAAGACTTCACAGAGGCGGTATAGATCTGCAGTTCTGCTGGCTGCCTGCACATGAGGGGGTGAAAGGGAACGAGTGTGCTGATAAATGAGCAAAAAGTGCACTTCAAAAGGAAATCACATTACCAGTTCAACTTGGAAAAGGAGAAGGAAAAGCAGTGATTAAGAAGAAAGGGATGGAGATCTGGCAGAAAAGGTGGGAGAAAGACCAGAAAGGCAAAGAGTATCATAAAGTTCAAAACACAATTACAATTAATATTTATAAAGAAAGAAACAGAAGGGAGGAAATCATGATAGCTAGACTCAGACTAAATCACACAGCATTGAATGGTACTCTGTATGTCATGGGGAAAAGTGACAGTGACAAGTGTGGGAGCTGTGGAGTTAAAGAACATGTGGAACATATCTTATTACATTGTGACATCTATAAAGCTGAAAGAGAAAAACTAAAGGATAAAGTGATAGAGGCAGAGAGGGAATGGAGTGTGGTTGGTATTCTGGGAACAGAAGGAGAGGGAGGAAGAGCTACCAGAAAGGCACTGTTTACCTTTCTGAGGGAAACTGGGGTAGGAAACATAATGTAACATTAGGTTAGAATAGATCATGGATTGTTGTTTTGTTTTGTTTATTTTATGTTTTTTGTTTATTTGTTTATTTTCGATTAGATCATAGATACAGATACGTCCATGAGTTAAGAGATGGAATGATATGATGATTCACACCAGTGGCGTAGCCAGGAATTATTGTGTGGGTGGGCCTGGGGGAGACTTATTAAGCGTGGGGTCTGAGCTGAAACTTCATTAATGATTTTAATGATTTGTTAATGCACTAATTGAACATAAGCATAAACTAGCAGTGAAAACAAAAACATAGGCACGGCTTTAACGGTACTTTTATCGTTTTTTTGGGAGAAAAAAATAAGGTAAACTAACTAACACAAATTGTGAACAAAACTAACATTGCTTTTTATTTTAATTAAATACATAATATTTCACATCAAAAGAAACAACAGTGTTTTAACAAATCGTATTAAATAATGTGATGACAGAACTGTAAACAGAATAGCTGAAACTTTAACAAAATAAATAACTCTAAATTACCTCTAATCATTAACCAATGTTTGTATAATTGAGTTAACTAGAAAGACAGTCGAACCCGGTGCATTTCTCCGTCTGAATGTGGAGCACTTTTACAAGATGTTTAGACAAACTGCTCGTGTTACCGCCTTTCCATGCTAAACTCTTATTGCACTTTTGGTAACGAGCATTGTCCACATCGAGACGGGTAAAGTTTAACCACACCCCGGAGCGCTTAGATCTCTCAGCCATCTCCTCCGCGTGTGTGTGTGTTGCTGCATGTAGCAGCTGCGTGTGTGTAAACCGCCCCGCCCCCTCGCACACAGGCGGGGGAGGGAGATCTCTCGTCTGGATTGGAGAGATCGAAAATACTAAAAATAATCATAGACGCATTTTGCTGTCTTTTTGCATCTTAGAAACAGAGTTGGTGACACTAAAACTGCAATATAATGTTTGTGTAGCAATAATACATATGAGATATATTTTTTACATGTCTCCAGTACCGACCGATAACGTCGGAGCTTAATGGTACCACGGTCTTTAATAATTCAGCCCTGGGGCTCGGTACCCATCCCTACACATGACTGGCTCGGCGGCCACAGGTTGTTTATCCTTGACAGTCGCACAGTGGGCACACACTGAGAGTTTTCATATTCAGCAAATGTGTACACGCTTCACTGCAGACCTCAAGAAGAAATAAGACTTTCGTTAACTCACGGCAAAACCTACTTTACTTACTAATTTACTCACGGTAAAAAAATGCACTCCCTATTTCATTGTCATGAAGGTGGAATCTAACTATATCCAGAATAAGTTTGATTGGATCCAGCTAGAAACATGTTTATTTCTGCTGTAAAGTTGGGCATTTTAACATGGGGGTCTATGGGAATTGCTCCTTTCTGCATCCATCCCCTGTTGGCCACTAGAGGAACTGCAGTTTGTGGCACTTCCTTCTGGGCTTCCCGGCTCTGCGCTATAACGCGCTGATTGGCTGTGGGTGGGCCAGACGTGCATGTGGGTGGGCCCAGGCCCACCCGGGCCCACCCACAGCTACGCCACTGATTCACACTCATGTACAGTAGGTGGCGGTATGCAACTAAAAGTTGTTTGCAATCCGCCAAAAACGAGAGAAGAAGAAGAAGAAGAAGAAGAAGAAGCTCTTTCTAACCTGGATCCATGTGGCGTCTCGTCGCTACGGTT